TTAGACTGTCGTGGGGCTCCTTCGTTCGGTACCCTCTTGGGACAGCTTGGGTTGTCTTGGAGCCTTCTTCAGATCTCGGCTTGGGTTTTCGGAAGTCAAACACAGGCAGTTTATTTGCAGCCTTCAAAACCCAGGAACAGCAAGGTTATTTGGCTCTCGAAGGCCTCTAGGGCGTCCTCTGGAAGCCCTTTTTTGGGGGGTCGTTTTCGTGGCCTTTATGGGCCATATTGGGCCATCATTGGGCCGTCTTGGAGCGTCTGGAGGTCTTATTGGGCAGTCTAATCTTGAGACCGCCTTGGAGGCTTTTTGACCGTCTTGGGGCGAGCTTGGCCGGCTTGGGGCGTTTTTCAAATGCTTCGGCTCTCTTGGCGTTTTTCGAATGTTTAGTGGATTGTTTTTGAATTTGGTGGTTGTGTTTAATTGTTTGTATGCCCTCTGTCAGAGCCTCTCCTCGGCCTGAACTTCTCCAAATTGTCATTTCGTCTAGAGATGGTGCGGTGCGATTTTCGGAGAGCGCTTGCTAGGATGGGAGGTCGGCCCTGGTCAGACAGCAGAAGAGCACTCTAACAGGCTCCAACGTGCACACGGCACCCTTCCCGAAGACGGTGGGTATTTGTGGCACGCATCTCCCGACCAATTGCCCGCCGATGCCATGCAGTGCGTGTTTTCTTTATTCAGTCGAGCTTCTACGTAGTGGTTCGTCCCTCGTCTGACCATCCCAGAACAGTCGGTCCCATACTTTTGTTTTGTTTGAAACGCGTGAGAACTTTGGACCAGGCCACGGACACATGCACATCGGCCCAGGAAGGGCCTAGCTGGTGTCGGTGTCAGTGGCAGTTCCCCAGACTCCTGCCTCATTGCCCCTGAAGCTTCGGACGTCCCGCGTCATGGATCTGCAGAGCTGCTCTGAAGCCCTCTGGGGAAGCCTGCGAGGTCCTGAGGCTCGATGGTGTGTACGCAGGACGTGTGTTGGACAAGTGTGTTAGGCCCGTTCATCCTGTAGCCTTAAGTCGGGCATGTCCCTCTACAGGAGGAATAGTCAAACATAGTACAACTTTCTCAGGGGACGACTCTTCGATTTTTTGTTGTTTTATTTTTGGGTAGTGTTGTCAGAGTGAGGAGGCCGAACGGTCATTCGTTGTCCCTGGGTGCGTGGCTTAAGTGCGGATCCGTGGTGAGGATTCTGCTTGTTGCATTGTTGTTGGTGTTGCTGTGGAATTCTCACTTATGAAGAATAGTTATTGTTGATACCCCCCGTCCGGTGCACATTGTTTTTTCTGATTGAAGTGACCTTCCCGGGGCTCGCACCCTGTTTTTATCAGGGAACGTCTTGAGGGTCAAACTGTGTCGTTGGCCCCCGGTTTACAACAAGAACGGCTCTCGCCTGATATTCCTTACAATGTATTGAGTAATCGCGCTCTCGCTTGGGACTTCCTTGCAATGCCGTTTGATACTTCCTCACCATGTATTGAAAAATCGCGCCCTCGCTTGGGACTTCCTCGCAACTTACCACCGACTCCCGGCTCCGCCTGATATTTCCTCACAATGTATTCAGATGCCGCTCCTCGACACTCAGGAATCGCGCTCCCGCTACATATTGCCTGGCGGTTCAAGCAGAATTTACGCGTCAACGACCCGCCCGCTCGACCCGCCCGTCTGGGCCTGCCCACCCGACCAGCCCGTTAGGGACTGCAGTCGCCGCTCGCTGCCTTTTGCCCGCCTTCGATGCCCCTCGCTGCCCGTACTGGTTCCGCGGTCGCCTACGCTTGCTGCCCTTCTTGGCCCCGTTGCTGCCCTCAGTGGCCCCGCTGTCGCCCTTTGTGGCCCCATATACGAATGCCCTTCGTGGCCCCCGCTCGCAGTCGCCCGTCGTGGCCCCAGACGCATGCCCTTCGTAGCCCCGCTGTCGCCCTTCGTGGCCCTCTCGCTGCCCTTCGTGGCCCTTTTGCTGCCCTCAGTGGCCCCGCTGTCGCCCTTTCTGGCCCCATATACGAATGCCCTTCTTGGCCCCCGCTCGTTCGCACCCGTCGTGGCCCCATATGCATGCCCTTCGTGGCCCCGCTGTCGCCCTTCCTGGCCCCTCTCTTGTCCACTCCATCCCAATCCACTCCACATCCCGCGCTCCTCTCGACACGGTTGCAGTTCTCATTATCTTTCCGCCCCACTCTCCCAACAACCCGCTTCTTTTCAGGGTTCCACGCAATTTGTTGCTGACACCAGTTCGCAGCTGTACGTCCCCCCGTGGGGGTATCCACTATCTGTTCTTTCAAGGGGGTGGCACGTGGCGCTGTTTATGGCGCGACCCATGGCGAAACTTGTTCTTAACCTGTGTTGGAGTGGCTGGCGCAAACCATGGCGCAAGCTGGATTGCCATCCACAGCGCAAATCATCGTCCTCCCTCCTCCTTGCTCCTCCCTTCCCTTCCTCTGATCCCTTCGCCCTCGTTCTCCCCCGTTATATGATACCCTTCGTTCTCAAGGGCTTCACCGACCACGCGTGGCAGGGAAGGAATAGACCTCCATAAAAAAAAGGGGGTTCCATCGAAGACGAAGAGGGCGGGTATCCAGGGTTTGGGATGCGCATCTTGAATGACGCGCGATCAGGTACGAACGATCCGTCTTACCATTTCTGTTGTTGTTGTTGTCGTTGTTGTTGTTGTTGTTGTTGTTGTTGACCCGGCCCGCGACCCATCCGCGACCCACCCCGCGACCCGCCCGCGACCCACCCCGCGATCCACCCCGCGACTCGCTCGCGACCCACCCGCGACCTGGCCCGCGACCCGCCGTCGACCCACGTGCGACCCAACCCGCGACCCACCTACATTGTTTTAGCAAAAAATCGGCGCCTGCGGCGGCCTCGTTGTAAAACTTGAGAATGTTGCGCCTGCGGGGGGGGGCTTCGGAGCCTCGCAGAGTGCAGACGTCCCCGCCGCCCCCAGTCTTATCCGGAACTGCGGGGGGTTTCGTATATGTGTAAGTTTGTTCGTCCAAAGTCCGCGTGTAAGAGGACACGCCCGACCAAACCGTAACCCAACTTGCTGCTTTCGACCGCATTGACGTTGGCGACAGCGCACGCTTTGAGGGTCCTGTCAGAGGCTGCGCCCACGACCGCGGCGGGCTGGTCGCCCCCCCCATCCCCGGGTGGGGCGCTGCTCCCAGGTTCGACGCGGCACCCACCGCCTCCCGTTTTTTGGCCACGAGCCTCCCTATGGGCGTGCTTTCCCCTTTCCCCCCCCCCCCCTGAAAGAAAGGACGCTCGCCCACTAGCGGCTCGCCGCGGGGGGTCCCCTGCCCCCTCCTCCTCCTCCTCCTCCTTCTCCTCCTCCTCCTCCTCCTCCTCCTCCTCCTCCTCCTCTTCCTCCTCCTCCTCCTCCTCCTCCTCCTCCTCCTCCTCCTCCTCCTCCCTCTCCTCGTCCTCCTCTTCCCTCTCCTCCTCCTCCTCCTCCTCCTCCCTCCCTCCCTCGTTTTCCTCCTCCTCCTCTCCTCCTCCGTTGTCCTCCTCCTCCCTCGTTCTCCTCCTCCTCCTCCCTCGTCCTCGTCCTCCTCTCCTCCTCCTCCCCCTCCTCGTTTTCGTCCCTCTCCTCCTCCTTCTCCTCCTGCTTGTTCTCCTCCTCCTCCTCCTCCGCCTCCTCCTCCTCCTCCTCGTCGGCCCTTGCCCGCTGCTCTTCCTCGCGCCGTGCCCCCCCCTCGCCTCCTGTTTCCGCGGCCGCCCGTGCCTGCCTCCGGCCCCGGCGCCGCCGGTGTCTGAGGGGATGCGGGACATCGGGAGCCTCGAGACGGGGGTCAATGCAAGCGGGGGTCAACCAGGAGGAGGAGGAGGAGGAGGAGGAGGAGGAGGAGGAGGAGGAGGAGGAGGAGGAGAGGAGGAGGAGGAGGAGGAGGAGGAGGAGGAGGAGGAGGAGGAGGAGGAGGAGGAGGAGGAGGAGGAGGAGGAGGAGGAGGAGGAGGAAGGAGGAGGAAGAGGAGGAGGAGGAGGAGGAGGAGGAGGAGGAGGAGGAGGAGGAGGAGGAGGAGGAGGAGGAGGAGGAGGAGGAGGAGGAGGAGGAGGAGGAGGAGGAGGAGGAGGAGGAGGAGGAGGAGGAGGAGGAGGAGGAGGAGGAGGAGGAGGAGGAGGAGGAGGAGGAGGAGGAGGAGGAGGAGGAGGAGGAGGAGGAGGAGGAGGAGGAGGAGGAGGAGGAGGGAGGAGGAGGAGGAGGAGGAGGGGAGGAGGAGGAGGAGGAGGAGGAGGGGAGGAGGAGGAGGAGGAGGAGGAGGAGGAGGAGGAGGAGGAGGAGGGGAGGAGGAGGAGAGGAGGAGGAGGGGGAGGAGGAGGAGGAGGAGGAGGATGGACAGAGACGGAAGTGGAGGGGGAGGAGGGGGAATGGGCATCGGGAGCCTTGAGACGGGGGTCAATGCAAGCGGGGGTCAGCCAGGGCACCAGATCCTGCAGGATCCTGCGAAGACCCCCTCTGGCTGACCTGGGTCAGCGAGCCGCTCGTGGCCGCGAGGCGGCTCGCGCGTATTGGCTGACACGGGTTTGCGAAGATCTGCGTTGCATTTTTTGTTTCTCCTGCATTTCAGTTATTGGTTTCCTGCTGACCCGGGTCTGGATTGACCCGGGTCAGAAGATTCCTGAGAACAACAGAGGTGGAGCAGGAGGAGTTGTGCTTCTCCCAGGGAGGAAGGTGATCGTTTTGTATTCCGTGTTGTGCCGATCTGCGCGGGCCCCCCAACCCCGCTTCCCCCGCCCCGTAGTAGATCTTGGTTGTTGGAGTCTCCCCCAGAGGCAGCATTCTTGCAAACAGTTGCACTAAGCCGAGGTCTGGGGCCAGACCCCCCCTTCCCCTTTCCGCCCAATCTCGAAGCGCCGAACATAAAACGCCCACAAGAGGAGGAAGAGGAGCGAATAAGAGGAGTGGAGCAACGCGAGCGGCTTCTCTTCAAGTCCTGTGTGATTGCCGAACGCGCCCCTATGCCCCCCTGGTCCGGAGAGCCTGCTCCCCCTCCCCCCCCCCCTGCGAGGACGTGGCGCGCGCGGAAGGCCGACAGTCCGGCCTGATGTGGGACCTGGAGGAGACGCGCCCGGAGGGTGGCCGGGACGTTCGGGACGGACGAAAGGGGGGGATTGGGAAAGGGGGGGTCACGAAATTTGCTGCATGCAGCTGATTTCGGCCTCTCACCGAGGGGCCCATTCCTCGATGCATAGCCGCCTCCGGCGCCGGGAGGCGCCGGGGAAATCAGCTACGTGAGCTGATTCTGACCCCCCCCCCCTCTTTGCTATCCCCCCCCTTTCGCCCGACCCGAGACGTGGGTTGGGGGGGGGGAGCAGGTGCCCAGCGGTGGTTGAGGGTAGGCTGAGGTCGGGCGTTGCCCTCTACAGTCGGGGGAGCGTAAGACCCAGGTTTGCCAGGGCTCGGGTTCGCCATCGTTTTTTGACGACCGCGGTTCGGATCTTGACGAGTAGGAGTTTCGTGGGATGTCTGCAGCGGGAGGCCTCGTCGAAATGCAGGCTCGGCCTCGTCATTTTTTTGACGACCTCGTCGGGGATTTCCGAGTCCCCTGTACCCAGGTCTTACGTCCCCCCGATACAGGAGGGGTATTCGACAATAAGTCTGGGGACCTTGAGGAGACGCGCCGGGCGGGTGGCCGGGTCCTGGGTCAGAGGGTAGGGGAGCCAAGACTGACATACACCTACAAGTTCGGAGGTCCGCGCGGATTTCTCGGACCCGCGCGGACCTACGAGTGTTTCTGTTCTTGTCATTCTTCATTCCCCTAGAGGGGGAGCAGGTACCCATCGGTCGTTGAGAGTAGGTTCAGGCGATCGCAAACATGGATAATGGGGGTGTGGGTCAGCGATGGACCTGGCCGGGCGAAAGGGGGGGTTTGGGAAAGGGGGGGTACGAAATTTGCTGCATGCAGCTGTTTTCGGCCTCACCCAGGGTTCCATTCCTCGATACATAGCCGCCTCCGGCGCCGGGAGGCGCTGGGAAAATCAGCTACGTGAGCTGATTCTCCCCCCCCCCCCTTTGCTATCCCCCCCTTTCGCCCGACCCGAATGGATCGGCTAGGCAGGCCACCCTTGCTGGGCATGTGGGGCCAGCTGTCGCCCCACTCTGCGGTGATCGGCGGCGAGCGAGGGAGGGGGAAGCGAGAAGGAGAAGGCCTTCTCAGAAGGCGGCGGGACTTCTCAGAAGCCCCCGCGCCTTCCGAGAAGTTTTCTGCGTCTCTGGGGAAGGCTTAGAAAACTTACCAGAAGGCCGGGGGCCTTCCGAGCCTTTGAGAAGGCCTTCTTCGTCTCGCTTCCTCCCCTCGCTCGCCGCCAAACCAATCTGACCCTCTCTCCACAGTCTCTCTTTGGGGCCGCGAGCGGTTCAGCCCGCTCGTGTGAGCCGACGGAGGCCGGCTCGAGCCCTCGCAGGGTACTGCGTGCTTGAATATGAAAAACGACTACAGTGGGAACCCATGCCAAGAAACACCTTGTTTGCCTCCAGGGTGCCCTGGATTTCTTGGGTCTCGCTATGGAAAGGGTCACGCTCCCACACCAAAAATCAATGGACGTCCTGGGGTCTCAGGGTTGGGTTGTACCCATCAACCACCCCAAGAGGCCCAAACGTAGTTGAAGGAACGCCCCGAGAGGTGAAGTATTGCAATTCTATATGTTTTTAGCGCGTGCTTGATGTTCCCGCCTTCCAGTTCTAGCTCAAGACGGCCGCGGAGGCCCCAAAGACGAGCCACGAGTTTTAGGGCATGTTGGGGCTTTTGGGGCCGGGCCGCCTCGGGGCAGTCAGTCTTGGGCAATCTCGGGGGCTCTGGGGACTGACTTGAAGCAATGATCCGACACGACGGGAGCAGACCATGGTAGAAAGAACACAACTTATGGACACGCTGTGGTCATTCAGTGCTGTTTTCCCTCCCCTGGGCGTCTTTTGGCCCTCCTTGGTTATCTTGGAGGCGTGTTGGGGTTACCGTTGTTTTCGAGGCCTCCTCGGCCATCCCAGACATGCGGTGGCGTCCACTGGGCATCCAGGTGTTTCTGTTGCAGCGATGTGCCCCCCCCCTCCCCCCCGCAGTAGACAAGTAGGAATGAGGCAGGACTGGAGGCGCAATAGACAACAACAGACAACACATGTAACACAATGCACCAGCCCAGCAGCATGCATCAGAGCCTGGCACCCGCAGCGGTCCAGCGGGCATGCACATGTTCCCCGTACAGTGCTTGCACTCAGGGTTTCTCATTGCTCTTCGGAGGACTTGGGCCTGCGTGCCTCTGTTGTCGCCGTCGCCGCCCGGCCGCCGCCTCGTCGCCGGCCGTTGTCTGGGCCTGTGCGTTGGTGGGTATGTTGTCGCTGGGCATCGCTCGGACGTGTGCGTTTTTTCCTTCGGCGAGGGCCATCGAGGAGCCTCCTCGATCATCCGGCGGAAAAAGCCACGCACGAAACCGAAAAAAACACAGGGAATGGACGTCCGAGCGATGGCGAGGTCGCCGTCGCTGCCCCGTCGCCGCTGCGTCGCCGGCCGTCGTCCGGGCCTCTTGGCGTGGGTCTGGCGGCTGCGCTGTCGCCGTCGCCGCCGCCGCGGCTGCCTCGTCGCGGCCTCGCACACACTGCACCACACTCAGGAGGGGGACAAAAACACACAGACACAATTAATCGTCGATTCCCCAGAAAATATGGGGCAATATGGGAAGGGGGGGGGGAAGACAGAAACCCAGAAAATATAGGAAACTATGGGGAATCGTTTTATTTGTGTGTATTTATTTGTGTGTCCTGGGGCCCCTTCACACACGTGCTGCGCCACATAGACTGCACAGCACGGGTTCGACCACACACATCCACATGTAGCACAGCCTATGCTGTTCGACGTAGAGTGTACCACATGGACTGCACAACATAGATTGCGCCACATAGATAGCACAGCGTAGATTCAACCACACACATCCACATGTAGCACAGCCTATGCTGTTCGACGTAGAGTATACCACATGGGCTGCGCAACATAGACTGCGCCACATAGATTGCGCTACATGGTTGCTCGACTCCACACATTGCGCCGACAGTACTGCTAACCATACATTGTGTGGGGGTCCGCGCTGGCTTACGCATCCGTCCATACAGACATACATACACATGCATTTTTCGATATGTATCTTTACATATACGCACACGCTGCGATTCCGGCGCGAAGCCAACTGCAAATAGCAAGTTGCAGCCATCCCCCCAATTTCCCTCGTCACTCGAAGGATGGTCGTATAGGTGCCCGCGGTATGATCGTGGGCCGTTTCGGAAAGTAGTTGTAGTTTTCGAAGCTCCGCGAGACCACGTTGCACCCTCACCTCCATGAGTTGCGCGCCCGATGACTGAGGAACCTTCGTCGTCATGGGTCCTCGAGGAGCAGAACGCGGGGGACCGCGACGATCAGACGCTGGCGTCCTTCCCCTTGGCCGCCCGCCCTCGATGAACCAGGTATCGAGGGCCAATCGCAAGTCTTACTGTTTTCCTCGAAGCCTATTCCCGTCGTTTGTTGAACGTAGGTATTTTTAGACTCCCAGATCCCAATCCACTTCGAGCGCCTTCCGACTTAAGAACCGATATGTTTTTGCTTTGTTGTGGTATTCTCTGGAGGGGGCCTGAACCCAATCTACTTACTCCGCCTTCCTACGTCTTTAATGCTGCGTCTGGCAGTTATGATAAAGTTGATGCGGATACTGATGACGACGGCTAGCAGGGAACCGTAGATAATGAGGAGGGATGACAGATGATAAGGGCACGAGCAGCACCAAACATAGAGGGCCCATGAGGACCGACGAGGATTACACAACTGATGATTATTTCAATGATATGTGCATGCTGACGGGAAGGATAATACGGCCTGTTTTGTGGGCGGCGTTGCATCTCGTATCGCTGGCGGGGAGTCTCACGAGTTTCTGCAAGGATTTTTTTTTGCAGCATGCGTCTGAGAACCCAAGGAACAGTTCGGGCGACGATCCTCTTGTTGTGGAGCCAGGTGAGGAGGAGTGGATCGCAGGTTGCGGACCAATCTCGGCGCTACCGGTACGTTATTTTTTCTAGCCGTTGTAGCGGGCGCTAGGCGCTTCTCCTCCTCCGCCTCCTGCTCCTCCTCCTGCTCCTCCGGCTCATCCTGCTCCTCCTCCTCCCCCTCCTCCTCCGCCTCCTCCTCCTCCTCCTCCTCCTCCTCCTCCTCCTAGAGAACGGGACAATAAGGCACGGATCACGGTGCCCATGCCAATTTTACCCCTCGCCCCTGCGAGCGGTAAACGCCGAAGACGAGAGTCGGCGACGCGGCCAGGGGGCCAACTGAGAAGAAGAAGACGCCTTCTCGGAAGGCTCGGAAGTCCCCCGGCCTTCTGAGAAGTTTTCGAAGCTTTCCCCGAAGACTTCTGCGAAGTCTTCGGGGGAGGAGGGGGGGGGGAGGAGGAGGAGGAGGAGGAGGAGGAGGAGGAGGAGGAGGAGGAGAGAAAGAGGAGGAGGAGGAGGAGGAGGAGGAGGAGGAGGAGGAGGAGGAGGAGGAGGAGGAAGAGGCAGCTGTTCAGAGGGCGCGGGGGCTTCTGAGAAGTCCCGCCGCCTTCTGCGAAGGCCTTCGCCTTCTCGCTTCCCCCCCTCGCTCGCCGCCGAGAGGGCACGGGATCACCGGGCACGGGGCACTGCACAGGGCTCCGGGCACAGGAGGCCACAGGGCAGCTGGACTTCAAACGGGGGACAGCTGGCCCTCCTCCTTGTCCTCCTCCTCCTCCTCCTCCTCCTCCTCCTCCTCCTCCTCCTCCTCCTCCTCCTCCTCCCTCTTCGCCCTCATCTTCACCCTCCATCCTCCAGACTCGTCGGGAGGGGGGAGGGGCGACAGCCACACTGCCAGGGGGGGCCACCTCCAGCGAGGAGGCCCACGATGCCTCCCCGGGCTGGAGGCTGGGGATGTCTCGAGCCAGAGTTGGGGACCACCGCCGGGGGCAAGCGCTCCCAAGCGCTCCCAAGCGCTCCCGGGCGCTCCCAGGCGCTCCCGGCGCGTTCCCAAGCGCTCCCAGGCGCTCCCAGGCGCTTCCAGGCGCTCCCAGGCGCTCCCAAGCGCTCCCAGGCGCTCCCAGGCGCTCCCGGCACGCCCCCAGGCGCTCCCAGGCGCTCCCAGGAGCTCCCAGACGCTTCCAGGCGCTCCCTGGCGCCCTCGCACCTCTCAGGCGATCGTAGACATGGCTCCGGGGGGGCGCGGACTAGCGACGGGTCCGCCCACCGAGGCGGCACCGGCCGCACTTTGGGTAGGGCGCCTCCCCCGGTCCATGGTAAAACAGGGCTAGGATCCGGATAAATCGCTCCAGAGCGTTCCGGAGCGCTCTCAGAGCGGCCGCGGCGCCCAATACATCCTCCAAACCCGCCGATTCTTAGAGATTTCGAGTTATCCCGATCCGATGTTGTCCCGATCTTCGCGTGGTTTTGCATGGGTTCGGCGACCGCGCTCCGAGTCCACGGATCGCCAATCCGCGTCTGTGCGCCCCTGAGCTTCCTCGCCCCCGCGGTGGCGGTCTCGCTCCCGCCCGCCGCCGCCAGGGCGCCTCTTCCCCCCTCCCCTCTGCACGGTGGCCGAGTTCGCGCTCGTTCCTCTCGGGAGGGAAAAAAACACACAGACACAAGTAATCGTCCCCTCCCAGGAACATATGGGAAAATATGGGAAGTGGGGGGGAAGACAGAAGCCCAGAAAATATAGGAAAACATGGGCAATATTTTTATTTGCGTGTATTTATTTGTGTGTTTGTGGGCCCCTTCATCATCTTCCAACGCTTCATCGCCAGCGCAGTCACTCTGTCTAGCCGCGGACACAAAAAAAAGGTGTTGGTGTCAGTGGCGCCTGTCCTTGTTCCTATCTCGGGGGGCGGTGGAGGACAGTGGCAGGAGACCAGGGTATGGTACACACTATAGAAGAGTTGGCCAGGTCCATCTTGGGCCCATGATTAAGTCGGGCCTGTGCCTCTGCAGGAGGAGTATTCAAAAATAGACAAAACTAGTCTGGGGACCATTTTTCGAATCTTGTTGGGTATTTTTGAATATTTGTCCCAAACATACTTATGTTGGGTCCTCGTTTGAACAGACGGTCCCCGCGTTCCTCTTCGTCCCTCGTCCCCCCCCTCCGCCGCCCGCATGCGTCACGCACGCCCATTTCAGCACACCCCGCACACGTTTCGTGGCCCCATAGGGAGCTCAACCGAACCCCCCAGTGTGACCGCCCGCATGCGTCAGCCACCACCCAGCACAGCGTTTCGTGGCCCCATAGGGGGCTCCACCAAAGGCCCGAGTGGCACCGCCCGCATGCGTCAGCCACCACCACGCATAGTGTTTCGTGGCCCCCAAGAGGGGCTCTACCGAAGGCCCCAGAGGCACCGCCGGCATGCGTCAGCCACCACCCAGTACAGCGCTTCGTGGCCCCATAAGGAGCTCCACCGAAGGTCCCAGGGGGACCGCCCGCATGCGTCAGCCACCACCCAGTACACCGCTTCGTGGCCCCATAGGGGGCTCCACCGACGGCCCCAGCGGCACCGCCCGTCCACCGAAGGTCCCAGTGGCACCGCCCGCATGCGTCAGCCACCACCCAGTGTAGCGTTTCGTGGCCTCACAGGGAACTCCACCGACGGCCCCAGTGGCACCGCCCGCATGCGTCAGCCACCACCCAGTACAGCGCTTCGTGGTCCCACGAGGAGCTCCACCGAAGACCCCAGTTGCACCGCCCGCGTGCGGCAGCCAGCGCCCAGCACAGTGTTTCGTGGCCCCACGGGGGGCTCCACCGAAGGCCCCAGTGGCACCGCCCGAATGCGTCAGCCACCCACCCAGTACAGCGCTTCGTGGCCCCACGGAGAGCTCCACCGAAGATCGCAACGGGACCGTTCGCGTGCGTCAGCCACCACCCAGTACAGCGTTGCGTGGCCCCATAGGGAATCCCACCGATGGTCCCAGTGGGACCGCCCGCGTGCGTCAGCCACCACCCAGTACAGCGCTTCGTGGCCCCGTAGGGAGCTCCACAGAAAGACCCCAGTGGCACCGCCCGCATGCGTCGTCCACCACCCAGTATAGCGTTTCGCGGCCCCATTGATTGGGAGTTCCACCGAAGGCCCCAGTGGCATCGCCCGCATGCGTCCCCCTTACCCGGCACAGCGTCCCGTGGCCCCGTAGGGAGCTCCAGTGGTCCGCCCACATGCGACCCCCCACCCAGCACAGCGTTTCGTGGGCCCATAGGGAGCTCCACCGAAGGCCACAGTGACACCGCCCGCATGCGTCAGCCACCACCCAGTACAGCGTTTCGTGGCCCTACAGGGAGCTCCACCGAAGGTCCCAGTGGGATCGCCCCCATGCGTCAGCCACCACTCAGTACAGCGCTTCGTGGCTCCAAAGACCCCAGTGGTTTCGCCCGCATGCGTCTCCCCCATCCAGTACAGTGTTTCGTGGCCTCATCGGGAGCTCCAGCGAGGGGCACCGCCCGCATGCGTCCGCCACACCCGTTTCGTGGCCCATAGGGAACCGCACCGAAGGCCTCAGTGGCACCGCCCGCATGCGTCCCCCCCGCCCATTACGGCACGTCCCTCACGCGTTTCGTGGCCCCATAGGGAGCTCCACCGAAAGCGGCACCCACAACGCGTTATTCACATCTGCATATGGTTGGGTCCTCGCCCTGATAATTTCATTATTTTCATTTTCTGGCAAAATCCGCTTGTAGGAGGACATGCTCGACCTAACCCTAGGATCGATGTGTTCCCCCCCAAATTTCCGCCGCCACGAAGAGCAGAGTCGTTGGGGATCTGTTGCTTCCGACCTCTGCCCGAACGCTTAGTCGTTCCCGCGCCCGCGCCGACCGATCTGCGAGGCCCGGGGTTGGCCACTGGCCCCCGGGGGCCCAAACTCAGAAGGGTCTCGCGTTTCGGCCGCGTTCGCAGGACAGGCCTCGCGGCAAAGTGCGTTCAGACATTATGGCTCGCATATCCAGCGTTGTGTGCCCCTCCTCGCCTGCTCTCCACCCGCCCTCTTGTTTCTGAGCCTGCAGGGCGGATCGACTCTGGAGCGGAGCTGCACGGTGATGGCACTGTTCGGCAAGGGGTCGGTGGCGCGGCGCGGGCGCGTCGTGGGCGACAAGTTTCTCGACGCGGAGATCCCCAAATGCGCATCTCGTTCTCCTGTCGCGCCTCGCCGAGGAACTCTGCCTGTGAGGATACGGGTGTGAGAGCGAATCCGCGTAGACGGCGGGCGCGGCGACGATGACGGCACCGACAACTTCAGGCACGTTCTCCTCTTCCTCCTCCTCCTCTGGACATTCAGGAGGGACGAGGGAAGCACAGCTGAAGGGCGCAGGATCATTGAATAAGCAGAATAGAGAAGACTGTGAGTGGTTCTGAGCGTGAGTGATCTGAGTATGAGTGAGTCTGAGCGTGAGTGAGCCC